GTGTCGGAAAGACCTGATACTCCTGGCGCAGAGATGAGGGGGCCCGTCAGCCGCCGAAAACTGTGGAGGGAGCCGAGAATTAAAAAAAAGCCTGCAGGCACTGCAGGGGGCAGCCCTGGGCCTCGGCCGTGAGGACCCATCAGACAGGCGCCTGCAGCTGCAGATCGGCTGAGAGGAGACTCTGTATGCGGCGGTGGCTGGATCTGCCGGCAGCGACCCAACCTTATGTGGCGCCCGTGACGGGCCCCCTGAAGGCCGCGGGCCCTCGGGCAGTGCCCGACGGACCGAATGGTCAGTCCGCCCCTGATCCCAACTGTTTAAGAGTTTCTACAATGTCTGTATGTCTCAATGGGCAATAAAGAAGATGGTACACATGTTTGTATTTGCCTTTAAAATCTTTTCTTAAGGTCAGTTGGGGGGCACAGGTCCCACCCCACTCTGTGATTGCCCTATGGGGCTGGCTTAACAGGTTTGGTTTGCCAGTGTCCCAACCTTCTGAAGGGGGGAGTATAACTTGACTGTTTCAAAGTTTCTATAGTTCCTCTGTCTCTCAATGGACTTCAGGAAAAAGATTTTACGGCAAGTAAAAAATCTAATTGTTATCAGGTTGCCCCTTCCTAGTAACATTTGCCTAGTTGAATTTGTGATTACCGTTACTTGGTAAATAATACAGATAGCAGGTATCTAATGCTTATTGGTAATTAACAGTCACACTATATCTACTGTGTATATAGAAAAAAATCGAGATTGAAGTGGCTCTTTTTTATACTACTATTCATTTTCTCTCTATATAACCTCTCTTATCCTCATACTGTGTGTCCTTTGTTTTCCCCCTTGCTTTTTGGCCTACACTTTCTCAATAGCTTTTGCTCTCACTTTTTTAATCCAGTGAAACAGTTTAAATGTATTCCTTGTTATTATGAGCTGTGAACCCCAGACAAGTGAAAGTTGAAATACATATATGGAAGTTTGTCACCTGCCAAACACTTTTTATTTTGTGCATTCAATTTGTGATCATCGCACCCTTGGCAAAAGCATAGTAAGATCATCAACTCACACTACAGAAGCACCACAAAGCCACAAGCCTAAAACACTAGCCAAAAAAACTGACCTAGCCTATTGATTGGACCCTCGAGGAGCAGCAGCACAGTGATGAGGTCATGCCTCTGCTCATGTTCTGCTCAATGAACTATTTCCCCTTATTAACATGTTTCCTGTAAACGCATGTACTGCAGCAGAACCCAAGTGACTTTCAGTACTTGTACGACCTCACCTAGTCGGAGTGAAGATGTAAAGAGAATTGCAGGAGGTTTATATCAAGACTAAACCAGGCACTTATGCTAGCTGCATTTAAAATACATATAACTATTTTTAGATAATTAACTACAGTGTAATTAATTCATTGGTGCCTGGACTACAACAAGTTGTTTCAGAGTTCACACATTTTACTTATGGAACAGACGTACACTTTGATATTCCGAAATGTAATTAGTATATTTCTTTTATTTTTATTTCAGAAAAATTATGAAAAAAGTTACCATGGAGCCTCCAGACAGACTGGCAAATCTGCAAGCTCTGTGGGATAGCCAGACAGTGACAGAAGTCGGCCCATGTGGTATGCAACAAACACCGCAATTAACTATTGAACAAATTAATTGTCAACAAAGATTTCAAATACAAGAGAGCCAAGCAGTAACTCATGGCTGCAAGGGGAGGGGAGCACCATGCTGAACCTTAGCAGCAATATGTATCAACCTGTCTCATTCATCTTTTTCACAGGTGGTTTTTCGCAAATGTATGCTTGTGTCTGTGATTGGCTCGGGATGCCCTATAGAGAAGAAGTACAGTGGGTACGTGTCTGAATGTTATTGAATGTGGCTTAGGGCAACAAACACACTTTCTTCATCCAGTAGTTATAAATGCTAGTATTTTTATATTTGTTCCATTATGTTCATGAATACAGCAGTAATTTACCTCCTTTTCACAGTGACCTACCTGTTATCTTGACTATGTCTGTCTGTACTACATTGAACATACCAGTGGTGCCAGAGCATACATATGGGGAAATAGTGATTTATGTCTTTTATTGTTAGAATAAGAATATCCAGGTATCACATTTACACAAGGATGCAACAATGATTGTACTTCAGTGCTATTGTAAGCACGTTCTGATAATGTTCAGATTTCCCCTATCTTTCTAGCCAGTGTACCGGACATACTGTATATTCCCAATAGATGCTGTTTTCTTCTTTCTAATTTCCACTACTGTCTTCTTTTGTCACTGATTGTTTCGGAACAGGGGGCCCACTGCATACCATCCATATCCTGACAAACACTAAATAACAGTCAGGAATCTTAGACCACAGACACAGCATGTATATTTTGCATTTACATGAACCTATTAGAATAATAAGTGCACTTAATGGAGCTTTCCATAACTCATCCTTATTATGTGTTATAAATCATCAGTGCAGCAATGAAAATACCATGTTTCTGTTTTTCTGCACAGGATGTTGATACTATATACTTAACACAAGATACAAGGGAACTGAACCTGCAGGACTTTAGTCATCTAGACCACAGGTAATGAGATTGAATTATCTATGTCCTATGACCATTATTTTACTGATATCGAATATGGTTCTATATACAGGGGTGTGACTACAAATCATAGAGCCCCAAGCAAACTCTCTCAATGGCACTTAGTACTTTGAGCTGTGATAATACGGTCATTGATCCTAACATTAATTATGCCTAAATTAGGAGCAGGAAACAGGAAAGCAGTCAGCATGGTTGGTACATTACTAGGGGGGAGTGCTGTGGACAGGGGTGTGGAGATGTCATTTTTAACCTTAATCCCAACGGAACCTTCATTTTAAATCAGCGAAATGCATTACAAGTGAATCGAAACAAAATGTACAACTGTCTTTTAGTTTGTGTTGTTTCTAATACAGCCACAGTCTGCATAGAAAAGCCTGTCGCTTGCCAGCAGCTGCAGAGTGGGACCCTTTCTCTCTGAGGATAGTAGTGGTCTAATTGCAGAGATCTAGTACACCCCCTACATAGTCAGAACTATAGCTGGGCAATCAGCACAGCTCATGCTGCCTACTGTTTAGAGAGCTCTGGCTCTGTGTCAGTAGGGGGAGTGTTGAACCTCTGCTATTGAGATCACTGCTTCCATACATTGAACAAGGCCATTCTCTGAATTACGCTGGCAGAAGGCAGACTTTTCTATTCAGGTTGTGGTTGTTTGTTAAAGAAAGCATGTAAGATTGTGTACACCTTTTTCTTTTGATGCATTGGATGTATTTGGCTTATTTAAATATAATTTAAAGTTAATTTGGCCCTTACATTTCCAGCTAGCTACTCTATCCTTATTAGTTCACCAGTCTGTTTTTAGCATCAGCAGATCTTTTTTACAGCCACAGAACGTAAAGCCTAAATCTTTTTCTCAGTATGTTTGGCATCATACCTCCAATGTATACAGTTTTCTTAAGCAAATCATTTTTTGTGCATCTGTTGCAAAGTTTCTTACCTGGAAAAACTGCTGATAACAGCACTCCTTGTTGCAGGCTGACAATGCTAAGCTGTTGCTTCTCTAGTAGCAGCAGTGTTGTCAGCCTGCCATGCATGCCCCTTAAGTTGTCCATTGTGCTGCTTATCGGGTCTGCAGGAGACATGCACAGAACTGATAGGCAATACAAACCCCAATTGAAGAAGCGTGCAAAGAAGGATAACAACACTGTTTATAATTGTGAGAGAGTGACTTAGCCTTTCTAGTCTTTGACAGAAAGTGCTTGTACTGGCAGGATCTCCAGGTCAGAGACTTTATAACCTAGTCGCAAAAAATTGTCTGCCTTCGAAAATTGGATGCAATGAGACATGATGCCAGATATACTAAAAAATAGATTCGGAATTTTCAGACACTTAAATTTCAGTGTGCTGGTCAGGTGGGCTGCAGCAGAGGTTTTGAAAGCAATATATCTACTCCTAGATGGGTAGGAGGGCTGGACTGTACTGTGAAGACACCCAACATCCTTTAAAGAGACAGTAACTCAGGAGTTACATTTTTAAAATGCATTCAAGTACCCTAACTATTAACAAAAATGTAACTTATTTGTGTATCTGCAGGGTGGCATCCACTCCAAGCTCGCTCGCTTGATGGACTACAACCTCCCGTTTAGTTCACTAATTTGTATTCAAGTTATTGTCTATCATGGGAGTGAGCTTGGAACGGTGGCTACTTTACAACAGTCACCATCCAGAGGAAGGTAGCCATCCTCCAGAAGGAAGGACAGTATCGGCATGAATTCAGAGATTATTTGAGGATCTACAGCTGAGTGATACACAGATGAGATACATTTTTGTTAATAATTAAGGCACTAGAATACATTTTTAAGACTTCTGAGTTTAATGTCACTTTAAACAAATGCTATTTTAAGGAGGTTACGGAAAACAGTGCCTAGAAGACTCCGCCTTTGCCCCAGACTTCAGCTTTTTATGACCGAAGACTTCACAAGGGATCATTGTGAGCTCATCTTTATGTGGACCTCACTATTTATATTTTCTTGATATATGCTTCAATTTGTTCAAAATGGTTTTCTTCATCATGTCCCTAAATTATAGATTATACACATTTGTACTTTTATTATGTGCTGAATGGACTAATAGATCATGATGTCATCTGGAAGCTCATGCAACATGTTTGTGTGGCATAATTCGGTATATACCGTATTTAGTACCATTTCTTCCTTCAGGCTGTTTCATTTGAGCAGGGCTGCCTTCACAGAATCTGATACTGGTTTGATATGACTGATAGTATATGAAATAAGACATTGCGCATCAGATGCTGATCTTGTGTTTTGGCATTGAATACTATGTTGGCTGATGGCCAATTTCCAAATCAACCATTGTGCTTAGTTTCTGTAAAGTGGGTTTCTGGCCAATATAATCCTAGTGTGTTATGCCAGCTAGCAGCCTGCTTTATTAGTTTCTATTGAATCTGCACTGTGCTTGCCCATAAATCTTGTCATTTCAGCATGTTTACAGAGATCTTTTAAACTGTTTTTCTTCCTCAAGAAAGCCGTTGCTCTGCTCTTATTATGCTGAGTAGAAGGATGTAATGCATTGCAGAGCAGCTGTAGTTGGCCTTTTTGGAATTTAAGCAGAGGTACCTTCTATAGTAGATGATGCAGATTTTTACCAGGTTTGTCATTGTGAAAATGAAAACAGCAGGCTTGCCATTCCATATATTGAGTACAAGGCTTGCCAGAGTAATTGTCTTGGGCTGCATTTTAGTTATAAGGAAGCAGCATTTTGATTTAAAATAAACAGCTTTTGATGTTATTGTATTAAACAGAAATTGAGTGGAATCATAATAATTATTAATAATAATAATAATTCATCAGATGACTGCTCAGGCAACGAGCACTGCATTATGGGTAGCAGAGAGCGAGCCACCATGTGTGCCCTAATCTATTAGTACCAGGCTTTGTCAGGGCTCCCGCAGTGGATGGGGGGTTCTTAGTGAAGGTAAAAGCAAAAACCTTATTGTGCCTGCTGTGCTGCATGTGTGTTAGTAAGCCTATTTGTAGTTTTGTATAGTGTACAGGAGAGTTGGCGCCACTGTCTAGGTTTTATTGCTGCATGTGTCCCTGTTCATCCTCTCTCTTTTGTCCTGGTGACCATTGTCACTGGGACAGAAAGTTATGGAAAATATAACATTTTGCCTGGCTTTGTCACAACCTAAAAGCTACTTTCTAGATCTTAAGGAACAAACAAATAAAATACCCACCGAGCCATTTTAGTGTTTCACCCTCCAGCTACTGACACTAGTTACTCACCTGTTCTCAGCGCTGCAGACATTCCTTTTTTACTACATGTGAAAAGTTATAGTTAGGATTCATACATATGGGTACTGGAAATGTGGACTTGCAAGGTCATTTTGACACCCAACAACTATCCCCTAATCTGGTTCTGAAAGAATTATTTTATACAATGGCTCTATAAATATGCTCACATTTAGTGAAGCCTTATAATGCCATTCTCTGATTACAAATGCATAATGATTATTTTTCTTTATTATGGGTTTATGGAGATCCCATGCCATTTTAGTGAGGTGAGATGATGGGTCTAGGTAGTTGTGGTTGAAAATACATGCCAAGGCATCCCTTTGGCCCAAATCACGCTTGCCGTGCATGTGAACGCGCACCAAAAGGTGCGCATTCAAGCATCATGGGAAAAACGCGTGACGTGCTTGCAGCGGAATGTCTCCTTTAGGACCCTCAAACACAACAAGCAAATTGTGCAAAAACGTGGTAAAAAAAAGTGTGTATCTCGTAGTCCAAACTGCTGCATGAGCTTTTTTGCTGTGTTTGTTGCATGTAGGACAGCCCATTGAATTGAATTGGCTGACCTGACAAAACGCACATAAACAAGACATGCAATCACATGTGCGACAAGTATGAACGGGGTCTAAAATCAGCTTTATATTACCAACGTCATTATACCAAGATTGCTTTCAGGGTCAAGAGAACTGCCTTGTTTATGTAAACCTATCATAGACCTTGTTAGCACAAGTCCCAAAGTAATTTATACTAATTAGCTTGGATGACAGTCTAATTATATGTCTTGCTACTAGTATAACAACAAGTTAACTGGTTTCAAAAAGAATAACATTCCCTAAAGCACTCCCTAATCAGGATGCGACATTTGCAAAGACGTCTTTACTAATGAAAAAAGATATTTAAATTTTTATAGTGGCAAGGTCAAAGATCCACATTACCTTTCAAGGCTGTGATCAGGAGATGACAAGCTGTAGTGGCAGTTAAATAAAAGAACATATAATGTATAACAATGCTTATTGGTGTGTTGTTTGTCTCCAAAATATTTTTGTCTGTAAAATATAGCTAATCTTGCATTTATGAGTAGCTGATGCTGACAGATTTTGCAACTTCCTCTTTCATTCAGTAAAATGCAGTAATAGTTCCATAACTGTTATTAAATAAAGTTCTCTGCTGTAAATAGTGACCCTAAAACTCTCTAATGCAAAATAAAAATTAATCGGCAATAAACTTCTTAAACTAAGAAAAAAAGCAGTGTGAACGTGGCCAAATGAGTTTTTCAATCGGGAGGTGCTATCCTCCCTAAAAAATGTTCTATCTATTGGGAAGAAACAGGGGACTTTGAATAGAGCACACAAGAAAAGTCTATTGCATTAAAACATTTGTATAATAAGGAACACATTTTATCATTCCAGAATACTGGAATGATAAATATTGGAGCAAGTATCGGGGGAACGGAATGACCATGGAAGCCTTCAGGGCTCTGAAGAAGGGGCTACTACCCCCAAAATGCCTAAGCAGATTATTACTCTACTATAACTTTTGGTTTCTTCCATGGTCATTCCGTTCACTGATTCTTTTGGCTCTGCATTGCTAAATATCTGTACGACACATGTGGGTAGACTGATGGACTTGTGTTATTATTTTAATAAACGTTATCACGCCAGGTGCAGGTGCTGTCTTTGTTTTCTTTTACATGTACTTTTGAGGAATTTTCTCATCCTTGTCTGGACACGCTGCCTCTACCAGTTATCTATCATTAAAGATACTGTTTTCAATCTGTGGTGGTCTGTACAAGTGCTGGGGTTCTGATTTCTGTTGTTCTAATGTAAAAGGGAACCCTGATGTGAAAGGGGGGATTCTGATGTGAAGGAGGAACCACATTATTTTGTGTGGGGTCCCACCCTAAAATCCATACCAGACCCCTGTGTGGGATAAGGGTCTGGAATGGTTTTTTGAGGGACCACACATTTTTTTACATTTATATTAGTTTACATTTTAAACTGGGTTGTCTTGAGATTTCACATAAATTTAACCCCTTCGGGACTGACGACGTACAGTGTACGTCGCCAGCATCGGAGCTGTTTAAACTTGAAAAGCCGACTGTCGGCTTTACAACCGAAGCGATTCTGGCGACTTACCTGTCGCCAGATCGCTTCTGTGTCCCGTAGAAGGGGCCACCCCCCCCTCCGCCGGACACCGCCGCCGTGCTTCCCGGGCTCATGTTTTTTGAAATTAAAATAAATCTAATAATAATAATAAAAAAATTTTTTTAAGTCCCCCGCCCCCGTGAGCACGCGCGTCGCCACGTAAACACGCGTCTGGTGCGCCTACGTTTAATAACGACGAACGCGCTACACATGTTGGGTATCGCCGCGCACGCCGGAGTGAGAGCAATAATTCTAGTATTTTGGGGTATCTCTAAATTGATGACCTGTGGGGGCCTTTAAAGCGTCTTCTATGGACTTTTTGGGGTACTGCAGTTATTCGCCGTTTCACGGACGCACGCAATTTGTAACCTGGGCATGTTGGGTATCGTTTTACTCGTTGTAACCTCATCTTTTATATTTCATTTAAAAATGGGTAGTTTGTTGTGTTTTGGGGCATTTCATTAAAGTTTTCACTAAATGTTGGGGTTTAATAAGGAGTTGCGCTAATATTGCGCAAGTCAAAATTTGCAACTACCACCATTTTATTCTATAGGGTCTTGGCATTCAGAAAATATATCATGTTTGGGGGTTTTAAGTCATTTTCAGGCCTAAAATGTGGAATATAACATGGGTGCAAAAAATTAAAAAAAGGCCTCAGTCATGAAGGGGTTAAAGGGTGCCATGACTGAAAAGAGGTTAAGAACAGCTGATCTAAGACGCATACAGTAAGCACATACTCTCCAGCCCACTATCTATAAGGATTACTATGCTTGGTGTTCATGGAAAAAGAAAAAGGCCTAATATGCAAAATGACAATAGTAGTACTGAAGACCAATAGTAACTGCTCCTTAGCAAGTTGTGGTGAAAAGATGGTTGTTAACATCTAAGTATCTTTACTTTTCACAGTAACCAATCTGTATATATTTAGTACTAACTTTGAAAGAGAAATGTTCAGACACTGGTATATGTCATTCAGGCAATCACATATTTTATGGATTAGGTGGTATTGTCACACACAAAAGCAAGTGATAATTATGTCTAATTTGATATTTGAATTGTGTTTGACATGTTACAGCTCTTTAGTATTTGCTAGGTTGTTAGAGGGATTTATAATCATATGGAAAAGTAGACGATTCCTTTAGCACGGGTTTAAACATGAAAATTATGATTGGTTAATTTTATCTTTTGAACATCTTGAAAAAACGTTTTCATAAAATTGCAAATATGTTATTTGTCCTTTTTGCAGTCTTTCTATGAATATGTAGTTTGTTGTTGTGTTCATCACCTTTTCCAATTTACTGCAGTATTGTACCCAATGTTTTTGTATACTTCTCTACAGAGATTTGATACCTATTGTGGCAGCTTTAGAGTACAATCAATGGTTTACAAAACTGTCATCGAAGGATCTGAAAGTGGTAAGAAATCATTTTCATACATTTGAGACTCATCTTCCACCAATGTCTTACAGATAGTGTATGCTTGTTGTGTTTATTGTTATGTTTCTGATCATTTTGTTTCAACTTTCTTTCTAGTCTAATGATGTTTGTGATCAGATTCTGCGTGTGGTGAGCAGGTCTAGTCGATTGGAAGAGCTGGTTTTAGAAAATGCTGGACTCCGAATGTAAGTGTGTTTTGAAGCTATTGAACTTTTTGAATCTGTTGCAAATGATGTGATTATAGAACAGATTAAGTGGCCAAGTAAGATCCAGTTAAGCAAATAAAAGTGAATTCACATTACCTTAGTTGGTCTTCCATACTTGGAGCCGGAGGTGTTCTATTATGCAAGTTGTGACTTCTGCTTGTAAAGTCGAGCACTTGCTGAGCCTCAATTTTTTGGCAAATCACTATGATGCACACTGACCAATAGTGAGTTGTGGGAGGGCACATGCCAGTTCTTATTACATGCAGAACTCCACCTAAAGTACTCTGGATTGCAAGGTTTTTCATATCTAAATCTAAAGCGTATGTAAACCCAAAAGCATAAATTGAATATATAGTCCTTAGATGTGATGGCTGGATATTTTATGCTTGTTTTCCTTTTGTTTATTTTACCTAGTAATACGGCCCATATTTTTTTTACTTCCTTTAACAGACCAAGCTGTCCAGCAAAAGTGGAAGTTAGAGGGTTGAAGCAAACCATTTACCACTTACAGGTGTGCTTACAATGGTCAGCAATTATTTATTTATGGAAAACCTTTATCCCAAAAGGATTTCTGTAACTGTTTAAAAAGTGTTATTTGGAGTTCACCTTTAATTTGTTAGTCAAGTCCATCTAAATCTGCTACAGCATCTAACACTCCCCTCTCCACAAGGTGACAATGCTGCTGTCCGAGGGTGGTTCCATTGTTTCTCCATAGAGTGGAGCCACCCTATGACAGGAAGTGTGTTACTGGCCGGATCACAAGGTGAAAATAAAGGGAAAAAGCTTCCGAAAAAAACTAATTCAGCCACCACATTTAAGGATTGGTAAACTGAAATGTATTAATTATTTGTTTTTGGGTTTAGATATACTTTGAAATGTATACTAATATATACTATACATAAAATGCACAAACAATTATATGAAAGTTGATATATACAGCACTAAAATGTACACTGCCTGGCCAAAAAAAAAATCTCTAACACTCTAATATTTTTTGGATTAGCTTTGATTACGGCACGCATTCGCCGTGGCATCATGTCTATAAGCTTATGGAATGTAACAACATTTGTTTCCATCCAGAGTTGCATTCATTTTTCACGAAGATCTTGTATTGATGATGGGAGAGTGAGATCACTGAGTAAAGTCTTCTCCAGCACATCCCAAATATTCTCAATGGGGTTAATGTCTGGACACAGCCCATGTGTGAAAATGATATCTCATGCCCCCCTGAACCACTCTTCACAATTTGAGCCTGATGAATCCTGGCAATGTCTTCCTAAAATATGCCCGTGCCATCAGGGAAGAAAAAAAAATCCATGATATTGATCTGCATAATGGAAAAATGTTGGGTTCTGGCGATTCAGTATATGCAGGTAGGCAGCCGACCCCAATTTGTGGGCTCGTAATGTTGCTGAATCTATTATCCAATAGAAGGCTCTGACCGAATTGGTTAGCTAAATCCAGGTGGTGACTTTCTTTGGACAGGCAGTGTAGATTACTTTATATAATAAATTTGTTTTTGTTTTTTTTGTTTTTTTGAAATGTACAGTGGGTATACACTTACAAAAAAAAGCACTGGGACTTTTTTTTTTATCTTGCAGATTGCCAAGTGTCTGTCATTGTCCATCAGTTACCGTATATACTCGAGTATAAGCCGAGATTTTCAGCCCATTTAACGGTATGTAGTTTTTTTTCCAGGGCAATTCACAAATGAATATATTTATGAAAATATAATCTGTTAATTCACCAGAAAGCTGTGGCCTGGGCATGACACATTAGCCTCCAACATTTTTAATTATGCAAATCATTATAATGCTTTATTACTTTTTTTGTTTCCATCCAGAGATTTTGCACAGAAGTTGTCCATTGCACTTGCAAACAATCCAAACTCAGGACTTCATACTATTAACCTTGCAAGCAACCCTCTAGAGGATAGAGGTACTGTAATTGAGTTTTTTTCATTTTTCAATATATGATAAGGGAATTTGTGCTCATTCTCTTGGCTTTGCCTCTGTAATAGAGTATCCTGCTTCATTTAATTGTGTTGTAAATATGTTGTTCATGCATGAGTGATAATTCTTTTTTGTACTCTCTTAGAGATTGCATTTCTATTTCTTTAGACACAGCAGCTTAGAATTAGGTTTTACTGAGACTATTAGCCTGTCTTTTTATAATGACCCTGTATACTGTTAATGTACGCACGCTGGAAATGTAGTTTTTTTTGATGGCCCTAAAATGATTGCTGTACACATATCTGCACACATTTTTACCAATAAAATCATGACGCATACACAACTAAAAAGTAACACTGCATTTGCATATTTTATTTTAAATTAAGGATGGTGTTTAATTTTATTTGAAAATTATCTAACAAATAATCGGCCAAGTAATCGATTATGAAAATAATCATTAGTTGAAGCCCTAGCTACCACACTAAATAAATATTGTCATACTAGATTATGACAATCAATACTAAACCGTACAAGAGCCTACTAAGTACTACAGTATATTCTCAAAGTCAGTATTCAGAATGTTAGCCTTCTTTATATGACTGCGGAAATTGAAGATAGATACATTTACAATTACCATGTTAGGTGTCTTACCATGGTGTTAACTAAAGTTTTGAAGACGTGCTATTGAATTTTACTTTTATCTTTTTAGATACTTTTGGAGCTATATTCCACTTCTCCATTCCTCCTCTTCATTTTGAAGCCATCTCTCGCATAGAATGCATGAATGAAAATTAAACAGGATATAATTAGCCTGACAATGAACAAAACAGCTTGGAGGTTGATAAAAGAGATATTGATATTAGTTATTATCCAATAAGTGGATCTAAGAAAAGGTTGTGCGTCATTTTACCTTTATTGAGCTGTATTGGAGTGGTAGTTATCCTTGCTGCATGTCTAGGGAAAATACATCCTTTCACAGAAGGGTGAAATCTTCAGAGTGTAATAGCTCTTTTTTACCTTTTTATGGTATTACATATGTAAATGTTTTTCCAATTGTAGGAAATATGTTTTTTCCATTCATATTATATTTCTGTATATTTAGGAAGACAAGGGTCTAGATGAGTGTGTGATCCTTTACCTACATGAAGGCAGGGAAACCACTGACAGGTCTAGCAGAACCAAGTTCAAGTGTCCTACTGTGAAAAGATGAGCCTGGGCTTGGTGCGCACTCAGTATTACATTCCTCTAGCTGCGTGCCAAACATATTTACCCCTATACGACACAATATTCGAGATAAGCCTGGGCTTAGTGAGTTCGCCTAAGCCCACTCAAAACTGTGATGGCCACTTCTTCCTCCTGACTTAGAGGCGCATTCCCTGCCCCGCAGCTATACATCACATGGTGGCGGGCAATGCCCCCACCACAACTGCTGCCATTGATTGGGTCAGGAGAAGGGGTAATGGTCACAGTTTTGAGCGGGCTTGGCCCAACTCAGGCAAACTGGGTTCCCCCTAAGCTCAGACCTAACTCTAATACTGTATGGTATGGGGAGATGTTTTTGGCACTCAGCTAAAGGAATGGAATACTGACATTGCATTCAGTGTAGACCTCCTGCAGCATCCAGCTACCAGCTGGCAATTTATTTGCATGTCTGTTAAAGCAAACGAAGCCCGGAGGAAGGAGAAGAGCTCAAAATGGGTTGGCTGTACACATATCTGCACACATTTTTACCAATAAAATCATGACGCATACACAACTAAAAGCTTGAGATCATTCATACATAATCCTCCTTACTAATGATCGCAGTTGATACTCTGTAGTAGTGAGCCATGATGCCCCTTGCCATTATGAAAGTGGTCATTAAGTATGAATACATTTTGTTCCCATTTCTGAGAAACATTCCTTGCAACCCCTTTGATAGCAAAAATATATTTTTATGTTTTTTTTAAAAAAACGCATTTTATTCAGTTTTCGTAATTTCTTTTGGTACAAATACAATATCCAACAAAGAAGTTGCATATAAAAAGATCTAAAGAAAAACAATGCTAACAACAAACCTAAAAGTACCATGCTGGTTGCCCCATTAAGTCTAATAAAACTTAAAACCTATGCTACGTCACTTCTAGGACCCCCAAACTATTAGTTAATTGGGCTTTCAGATACCAAGAGGAGTATATAAAAGGTTGCACAATCTGGGTCAACTCTGTATTATCAAAGGTTGCAGCCACAAAGTGTTTCCAACGTTTGAAGAACTTTGTGGTTTTCATAGCCTTCTGCAGTTCTATTTCCAACTTTTCCCTATAGAATTAGGTCTTTAATTCCGCTGTTACAGCAGATAGCGATGGTGTGTTCCAGAATCGCATGATACATCGTTGAGCAGCACACAGGCATTTATGTAACCATTCCTTCCCTTTATTGGAGGTACAATGAGTTTCTATCGCCGAGTAAACCCGGGAACTAAATAAATACAGCAATGGTGATGGTGTCCATTGTAAGACCGTTTGATGTAGGAGGAAACTCGAGTCCAGAATTGTACCATATATTATTTTGGTATTGGTCAGTTACTTTATAAGCCCTATTAAACATGAAACATCCTGAAATGAAAAATGGTTATAAAGTAACAGGGGATGTGCTCACCGTATGACAGGTTTTTAAAGGAGAACTATGGGGTGAAGGCTTTTCCCCATAGTTCTCTTTAGGGTAACGGGAGGACACAAACTAGCGTCCTCCCGGCACCCTAGGCTCAGTATACAGCGAGCTGCAGCTCGCGGTATACTGAGACGCCGCAGTATACCGTGAGCTGCTGCTCGTGGTATACTGAGACGCCGCAGCTGAAGCGGATCCCGACAATTGTGCCGGGATCCGCCCAGCTGCGTGACTGACAGCTGGCTCTGCCTATCTAGAGGTAGAGCCAGTTGTACCCGCCCCTGTCCGTTCTGCCAGTCAGCGCTGGGGGAGGGGGGAATCCAGCCCCTGCCGTGACAGGATCGAGAGGTGAACGAACGCCGGTATGTGTTCGCTCACCTCCCGATCTACTGAGCCGACCTGTGTCAGTCTCATTGTCACAGGTCGGCTGGAACTATGAGGTGAGTGAAAAGCACTCACCTCATAGTTCTCCTTTTAAGGAGTTATTGGCCCCACGTTTATTTTCATGTACCAGATTACCAAAAAAGATGCTTCACTTCAGCAGTAAAACTAAAAACAATGTCCTGCTTACTTCAGCAAATACATCCATACAAGGGATATTTGCTCAGCCTAAACAACTCAGTCTATTGGCAAATGCCCCAAGCGCTCCACAGAGCACCCATAGCCCTGCATTATATGTAAGGGTACAGAAGGACAGTTCACAAGCCGGACTGAAGGGGATAGAGGTGACTGCTGGGGTATCGGGGATCAGGCGAGTAAAAGTCCTTTGCACATCTATTCTAGACATAAACTAGCAGTAAACCCCTGCAGATTTTCTCCACATCAGGTTAAGCAGTTCCCCTTTTTGCATCCTCTGCTGAGTGCTGGCTGGAACGAACTCCAATTCTTCTCTAGTAGAGCTGAGTAAATGAACACGCAGTTTGGAAAACCTGATCGTTTGTAGCATATCGTGTTTTTTTAAATTTTCCTTACTAGCATGATTTATTAATCAATGGATTTAGGGCTCATTAACTGTGTGGTTCTTTATAGATCAGACACATCTACATGCAGTAATTAACTCACTCATCTTTATTAATGCTTCATTATAATTGTTGCAGAGAGACATATTTGTCCTTCTGAATCCATATTTTTCTGTGATTTATGAAGTCATTCTAGGAGTACAAGACAGACAGCACTGGTTATTTTTAATGCATCCACATGTATCATTATGGATATGTGTATCAATGTCTTTTCTTTGTGTTCTGTTTTGCAGGTGTATCTTTTTTAAGCATACATTTTGCCAAACTCCCCAAGGGCCTGATGCACTTAAATTTATCAAAAACCTCATTATCGGCCAAAGGTAACTTGTCTTTTTCTTTTATTTCATCTTTTTTATTTTCATTTGCTGAATGTATCTATAAAGACATAGGAATGTTAATATTTATTTCTCGTTCTACAACTATTTGGCCTTTTGACCTGAAGTTCTATAAGTCACATCATTTCATTGGCTGACACATACTGATGATGACAATCAAGCTAATCTGGCTCATCTTTGTAGTTGTGTTTTGTAATTGTAAATTAGTTCAAGTTAAACCTCTTTTTCATGCAGTGTTTGTTATTTTGTCCACCAAGTGTCTTGCATCATTTAACTCTAATGAAATGCTATTATGCTTTAGGTTTTCAGTTATTATTGAGAGAATGTGTGTTGCCCATTAATTATGTGTCTCTTTGTATCCACAGGAGTAAATAACCTATCCCAGTCACTAAGTGCAAACCTGCTGATTTCCAGCACCCTTACCCACCTTGACCTCTCAGGGAATATACTCCGTGGTGATGACCTTCCAGTATGTACATCCCTCTCTGGTTTTGCCTTAGCTTTATTTCACAAATATCACAAATATTTATTAATTTATTACTTTGACTTTGTATGACCTTAGTGTCCACCACCTCTCAAATTTTTGTTTGCTTTGGATGGAGTCAATAGAATCACTTTTTTAGTGGAAAGGAGAAGGGTTAGTATCTCTTCTTCTTCTTCTTTTTGTTATTGTTGTAAACGTCCCTCTTGATAGTAGGACAGGAAGTGTGGGGAATTCTCTGCTATAGGGACACACCACGATAGAAACCTGACTGTGGACTCTAGTCTACACTATCCAAAACTAGAAAAAACAAAAACAAATGGGCTTTCAGTACCTGTATCTTAGTATTTTGTGTTTGATAACTGACTCTTCATCTTAAAGTGGACCTATCATTAATATAAATCAGTAGTACACCAGTGAGCTCTACCAATTCAGACTATGATATTGAAAAATAAAACTTTTTGCTTCCCATTAATTTAAAAAACACCCTAGCCCTGCGCTTCCTGACATGACCCAAAGTTTAGTTTTTATTACGGTCTACTGTCATCTCCCCAAATGCAGTGTTTTCCCCAAGGTAGGAAGTGTGCTAAATCTTTACAACAGAAACACAACCAGCAAAAAATACTTTTTTTTTTTATAGGCAGGTTTTTATTGTCATCCCTGTTTGATAGACTTTTCTTCACTCCCTGTGTGGTTTTAGGGACAGGAAGTAGGGGGAAATCTCTACTTTTGGGGACACAGACAGTAATAAAAACCTGAAAGAGACTCTAGCCTTTCCTCACTCTATCACGAACTTAAAATAAGGGTTGATGTGTTAAAGTAGATCGTTTGAAAGAATGCGCATACCTCTATTGCTTAAAAATGCTTCCGTAATGCACACTGGGAGCCCCTCAGTCCTCAGCATTTAGGTTAGTTTAAATCTAGATTCAAGGCACTCATGTCCTGAGCGTGTACTGCATTATGAGTGTTTCTCAGTGACATCTGCATTACATTGATGGGATAAGTGGGCTTGGTTCCCAAAAGTGGAAATTTACATATGGATTCAGGGGGCAACAAGAAGGAACGTCAAGCTAATAGAGGTACTCGTTGGCATAGCCAAGTGCCTATCTTCCCACCAGCTATTTGCTTCAAATGTGACAGATGTTTTATTGGGAGTAACATCAGAAATAATTTAAAGAGCTTGCATACATGATTAGTAAACTATGCAACATTAATGCTAATAAAGGCATAAGAGTACCATTTTTTCACACTAGTCTTGCATAATGATGCTTGTGAAGGACTAGTTATTAGTGATCGGTTTCAACACTGTTCTGTATTAATGTATATTGCAGAAGTTACTACAGATGGTTATTTTTGTAGGTAATGTCACCCGCTACATAATATCAGTGTTTGGACCTACTGTAGATCTGTCTACAAGACATGCTTTTATTTTGTCTGAAACACATAATACAGTAACCTTTTTCTCTCCTTTCTTTTCTAGTCTTTGTACAATTTTTTGGCGCAGCCGAATGCTATCGAGTTCTTGGATTTATCGAACACTGAGTGTTCTGTTGACACGGTAATAAACATTTTAAAACATTTTTTAAAAGCTATCCATAAATGCATATCTCTAATAAAGGATTATATTTGCACATGGTTTTTATTTAAATTTGCCTGTGCCCTGAATAATTGTGGGAGCAGAACTTCTTTGAGATCAGGGACCAGTATCGAAACCCTCACAAAAAATGTTTTTTCATTTCTTTTGATAATTTTATGTATTGGAGTTCTTTTTTGAATCGAGGTCTGTAATATCTATAAAAAAACACATTCCTATTCTGACATTTCCTATATTATGCTGCATACAGTAACAGCATTGTTACCCTATGATGTGCTCCTGCTGCAGCTGCTTCTACCCTTCTGTGGTCCTGCTCCATCTTCCGTACCACACACCTCCTCTGTAATTAGCTGTGAAAGAGACGTACGCAGGCGTGGACTGACAACACATGGGGCCCCCGGGCAATACAAAATTATGGGGCCCCCTTGTGCTCCGCCCATATACACATCCCTCCCACACGCCCCACCTGCATAGACATTCTTGTGTCACAGACATTTTTTTCTCCACATTATTTTTCAAATAGTGGGCCAATTCACTAAGATGAATTGCCGGGGAACTGGATGTCCATGCTTCTGGGCTGTGAGCTGTGGGAGGTTAGTGGGAGGGGCCAGACAGTGTCAAAGTCAGTGTTCTATAATTTTTCTCGATCCTATACATTTTCTCCACTGTGTCACTTCCAGTGGGGCCGAGTCATCCGAATCGGCTGTTTTCATGACATGCGCACCTGGAAGAGACGCCGTAGAGAAATTTATCGGTTGAGGAAAATTAAAGCACACTGGTAGTGTAGGAATGCCTCGTCAGTGCTGTGCGCGTGTACGACTGCTGCGACCCTGGTAGTTCTGCCACTAACTCCAAGCTGTAGAGAGACTACAAATCTCAGCACAACAACAATGTAGAATAATACCACCAGCTATAGAGGACTATAAATCTCAGAAATACATTGTACAGCAATGAAGAATACCACCATCTATAGAGGAATACATTATACGTACATTGAGCGGAATTTATCAAAACTGGAGCAGACAAAATCTGGGGCAGCTGTGCATGGCAACCAATCAGCTTCTCTCTGTCATTTTCAAACCTTAACGGAACAAACTAAAGAGAGAAGCTGATTGGTTGCCATAGGCATCAGCTCGAGATTTTGTCAGCTCCAGTTTTTTTTGTCAGCTCTTGCTTCTGAGATCGGGTCTGTCGGCAGCTGTCATCCTCCCACGCCTGCTCCTCCTTACTTCTTCTTCTTCTCCCCGCGCCGATCGTGGATGTGGGCGGGCAGTGAGCGTGAGGCGCGAAGGAGGTGCAGCTTTTGGAGCGTGGATGCGGGCGGGTCTGGCAGCGGCATGCCCGACTGCCCGAATGGTCAGTCCGCCCCTGGACGTACGCCTGCTGCTATAATGTGGATGCACAAAATGGAAGTGACACAGGAGAACTGCTGGCATTAGGCAAGGGTGGCAATGCTCCCTAGCTATGTCCTGCATACAGTGGCAGCATTGTCACCTATAATGTGCTCTCACTGCGGCTGTTTCCTCCTTTTTGTGGCCCTGCTTTTTATCCTCCATACCACCCACCTCCCCTGTAAATGGCTATAGAAGAAACATGCACCCTCTGCTATTATGCATAAAGGAGTGAAATGTAACAACTGCTAAGCCTGGCAATTGGCATCTGGCAAGAAAAAAAAAAAACATGCACTCCAAAATCCCTCTGAACAACCCCAAGTAACAAATTATATAGTTCTAAAAAAAATAGTATTGATGATGGCATAATCAAAAAGGTGCATATTTATAAAATATTGAATTTAGACCACACATTCACTGGTGGTGAATCAATCACTGTCATTTAAAACACATGCACCAAAAAGGTTCACCTGCTGTGAATGTTTGGTGAACATGAGATTAACTGCTTTACAAATGTGTCTCAGGTGTTTGTTCTACAGTCACTAAACATAAATTGTGTGTGGTGGGTTCCATATGCATATATGCAGGGTAGTAGGTTATTATTTTTCATCAATCTTTATACAAGTATTACTGATAAATGTACTTTGTGTTAGGGTAGATAATACACTGTAGCATCATACCTTTTCAGAGAGATCTAAGGATGGGTAGAGCTAAAAACTGTCAACCACTGTAAGTAAAACAGGTCTTGTGTTTTGCGGAGGCATCTGCTGTCACTGCCACACCCGCCCTGTTTTACCTGGGCTTCAATCCGGTCAGGAGTGCGATGGCATACAGGTTTTTTCAAGTACAAAAACGCGTGCCACGTTAAAATTTGCGCATTTTCGTGCTGCACTGTTTTCCGTGGGGAAAATGCAAACACTGTGTGTGAATGGAGCCTTAGAGTGCAACATATGTATGCTTCTGTTTTTGTAGTTGTATGATATATTAACATTGTGCTTGTTTCTGTTCAGGTATGTAGCGCACTCCTTCGTGGTGGCTTGCAGCACCTTGCTACGCTTAATCTGTCTCGGACCATCTTTTCCCACAGGTATAAGTCACATGTACCATGTACAGTCAATGCCTGTGCTACCTTGGCATATTGTTATCCATGTAATTCTGCGTTGAATAATGTTTCTGTACTTATCGGTGTATGTTGAAGTAACATTCATTTGTTTGCATATGTGCCCAGTTCATGCCTAGTAGTTATCCATCTATGTTTTATTAGGTTACATAATGTAGTAAGCTGGTGCCAAATGACCTTCTCTTATTTTGAGCTCCAGCATTGTTAATGTGCAGCTATTATTATATAATATAATGATGTTGGCATGTTTGTTGTTGATGGGTAAAGCTATAATAATTATTGCTGTCTTTAAAATAAAAATAATATAACCTTTTAATCAACAGGAAAGGGAAAGAAACACACCCATCTTTTAAACAGTTCTTCAGCAGTTCTCTTGCTTTATCACGCATCAGTCTTTCTGGGACCAGGCTTTCATCTGAGCCTCTGAAGTAAGTAGTTTGTACTCAGGTGACCCTAATGCATTTTAAAATATGTAAAAAGTCTTCAGCACACCAGAAACAAGGTAAACCTCAAAATCAATCCATAGCTTCTGAGTATTAAAAGGACTTCTCCAAATTTGGGCTAGCTAAAAACACAGAAATGTTTACACACTAGCGCTCACCTAAAATAATATCACCTGACTCATAAAATCTTCAAACAAACAACTGAGGGCCAGTTCACACCAATTGCGGTGTGTTCCAGACTGGTAGCTGCTGGAACGCACAGCAATCGCACACTAAACTTCCCCCTCCGTTCTGGGGCTAGAGGGGTGCATTGAAGTCAATTGCAACGCAGCCACGCCCTCAGTGCGATCGGTCACGTGGCAAAACATTGCCTGCGTTCTAGTCCACTGCGAACGCAAAAAAATGCTGAATGCTCTATTTCTTTTGCGTTCGCAGTGGATCTAAACGCAGGAATGTTTTGCCATGCATCAGAATGCTGAGGGGCGTGGCTGCGGTGCTATTGACTTCAATATCGACTTCCAGATCGAAGGGGGGAGTTTAGTGTGCGATTGCTGTGCATTCCAGCAGCTACCGCTCTGGAACGCACCACAATTGGTGTGAACTGGTCCTAATAAATAGTTATATGTGCCATTGAGGTTGTGTTTTTTCGGGTTTTTTTTCGTTATACCAGTCAGGTGATATAATTTTAGGCGAGCGTCACTGCATATAATTTGTTTTCCAGTACATTTCGCTGTTGTGGCACTGTACATTGTATCGGAAATTGCAACTTTTAATTACTTCTGGAAAGTGAAGTAGGAGAGGACAATCTTGTTCATTTCGGGAATGTTGGGCAGCTATGGCTTGCAATGTTCTTCTTCTTCAGAGCATAGTGGTATCAGCAAGTAGCACTGCCCAATAACTGCTACAGTATGTACAGGGTGTTCTGGCAATGAATTGATTTTTTAAATTACCTTTTATATTAGTTATTGTTATTATTAGGGTTGCACAGATACCAAGTACAGTACTCAGGACAAGTACGAGTACATGTACCGATACTTTTGAGATCCAAGACTAGACTAGAGAAAAATTCAAAAATTAGGAGGCAGCTGTCATTTGTAAGGAGCACACGGAGCTCCTGGGATTTGTACATCTCTGTTTTAATGTACGATTTTGTTTTTATAAATATAAATAAAGGGATGCACAGATACCAGTTTTGCGAGTACGAGTACTGATACTTGCCGAGTACTTACAAGTACGAGTACTGATACATTTTTGTTTATTGTCATGTGACAGTTTTTCAAAAACAGTACAGACTAATGATTTCAGGACAGTGGTGGAGTGCCAGAGCCAGGTCCCAGCTGCAACCGCTGCAACCCTGATAGTTCTCATGAAAATGCCAAGTATCTGCACTGGTACTCGAAAAGTATCTGTGCATCCCTAGTTATTATCAAGTTATGTATGAGCTGTGATCTCAAATAATAACACTTGTTAAATTGGTGAGATTGTTAGATGCTAAATGTTTCACCAATGATCATCTTCTACCTGTGCAGAGTTGTGTAACATTTTTGAAGAGTTATCCACTTTTGAAGGATAAATGCAAAGTTTTTAGGCGATTCTATAATCTTCTAGAGAAAGATTAAAGTATTGGTCTGGGTGTGTTTATTTTTGCAGTCCTAATAAACCCGTTGTCATAATATTGCCACTGGTTATAAAGCATTGGAATTGGTAATAGAATGTCTGTGTGGGTGTGGATACCTTGTAAGACATACAGAACTGTCTATTAAACAGCTACTGTCATTGTGACCCTCCCTTTGTAGCATTTTATAAATATTACCAAGTAAATAATTGTTAGAGATTTAATATTCAGCATGTATATGTATTTTGTCTACCAACAGCAACTTAATACAAGGTACCAGCAAGTAGCAGCTGACAGATGCCAAATGCTCAGGCTTACTGCTTTATTTATTCTGTGGTTTGAAAGAATGTATGAATGCCTTAAGAGAATTTTTGACCTTTGCATATAAAAGAAAAAAAAAATAGCAGATAAGGTGGGACCCGCATTAAAAAATCCTCAAGTGTAAAAATGTAGGCGGTTTAGTCACACTGAGGCCAACAGTTCAACATTGAATTTCCTTAAAGCAAAACTTTCATCCCTATGCACAGTAAAGACAGAAATAGACATTGACAGCTGAATATGCAGCCTTTGCTGTTAGTGTTGCAGAAACACATTTCCAAGATTTATTAAAGTTAAAGAAAAAGTTGTATTATCTTTTTGTTTAACAATTTCTGTTGGCTTGGTTATAATTTCTCAGCTATAGGGTTGGCACACACATCCCAGTATGCAAAAGGAGTAATTGATGGGTGGGGTCATGTAGGGCGAGTGAACCTTAGAACAATTAGTAGCCCTGAGAAATGCTCATACAAAGGTTTTCTAACCTATTGAAACGTCTAAGTGACCAAGTTCCAGTACCATAAAAAAAGCACAAACAAATTGTTGCACATATGCTACATTGTACCATCATCTCAATCAGAAAGAACATTTTAATCTGCTCTTATACCTTCAGAACAGTAACAACAAGGAATGCTTGTTCTAAAGTGTGTGTAAACCCACTATTGAAAATGGAGGGAATGGTAGTTTACCCTTCTTTAATAATGCAGCCAGCATGTTTTTATTTTCTGGAGGTGTGCTATGCCAGCAATTGTATCTGGGGATCTGATGGTTAGAGGTGTCGAGCTTACTTCTTGTCATAGGGTGACTACATTCTATCAGGTTGTCCCTATACAGGGGCAACATTGTTACCCTGTAATACACGCTGCCACGAAGAACCGCAAGCTGACATGTTGATGCTCAGTGCCCTTGGTATGTTTAACCCAAGTTCTGGAAGACCAGCCTATTTAAGTAAATGACCCCTACAGGAACACTCGCCTCTCTTGTAATTAATGGTGGGTTGTACAATATCAATTAGCACATTAATGTTAGGCATGCATATTATTGCTGTGAGATGTGCACCCACTTCTTGGAAACATGTGCACAAGTGGTGAGAGGCTTCCAAGAGCAGCAGAAACATGCATGGTGCACAGAATTCAAGTATTCCTAAAACAAGTGCTCATAATGTTAAAAAAATTGATCCAGAATCATTAATACTTTACCAAGCCCTGCAATTAATGTAGTAAAGGTATTGAATACATGTTTAAAAGTAGGTGTCAATTGTCAGCTTCCTTTTGAGCCACAAATACCGTCTTTAGGCTTAACCCAAGAAGAACAATGGACACATTAGTAAAGGGAAACTGCAATACATGGAAAAAAAAACAATGGGTTTGGTAAAAGAAGCAGGGCAGCAAAGTAGTCTAGGGGCCGGAATACAGAAGATATACTGATCCTCGAATCTGCAGTGGTCAGCGCTCACCTCTCTTCCCCTTTACTCTGGCTGTGGAATGTCCCTTGGCATGGAATGGACCTGCATTAGATGTGATGAGACCAGTGGGGCTTAGACTGCCAGAGCCTGCGGGAGAAGAAACTGTGGAGACCGGTCTAACAGCTAGGCGGGACCTACTGTAGGATCAGGGTAGTATATTTTTTTTATTTGAGCCCCTAGACCAAAACAAGCAGATAACCCCTGCAGTGCGGGGGTAGTTCCACTTCAAAGGTTATTTTTTAGATTCCTGAAGTTCCTTTTTAAGGCTCCCTTTCTGAGAGGTCTGATAAAGGATGAGTTAAAAGTGGGATGACTCCTTTTATGTTCACTGAACAAAAGTATTTTTTTTTTTTAGCATAGCTGTCAAACATACATAGCTAACATGTGAAAAGTAGACTAGAGTACCACCTGCTGGCAAAATTGAAGACTGCATAATAAACGACTGTTATTTTTTTTATTTTGTTTTTGTGTCTTATATCTACTGCTTACTAGCAAAATTTAGACTTGAATTCTACTTTAAGTCTAATAGCATAGTTTTCACCTTGGTTATGTAATCCTATTAAAATACATTTTCAGAAAGGAACAAAATACCTACATATTTAGAGCACATTGAAATGTTCGCATGTAATTGAATTTATAGTTGGCTTATTTGCATAGGAATTTTCTCCCAGCAGTAATTGCACAGCTAAATGACCGTTACAGTTACAAAGATTATCACAGCTTCAAGAAACCAAGCTTGATCCTTGGTGCCCCCAATTATTCCAATTCATATTAAATCCTTTGTATAAAGCGATAGCACATTTTCCTTTAAACATACCCAGCTGGAGGTTTTTTTAAGTTTAGTGCCATTTTGCAGCATTTGTCAGCATGAAAGCCCAACAACATAATAATATTGTTAACCACCTTCCGTCCATGGCCGTTTGTGAACGGCCGGACGGGAGTCTGCTAGGAGCGGGAGGGCGTCTTAAGACATCCTGCCCCTCCCCCCTCTCGTGTGCGGCACTCAGCGCGCACACAAGAGGGAAAACTGTGAGCATGTAAACAGCCAGCGATGGCTCTAGAGACGCCCGATCGCTTGCAGGAGCTGCGGGTGTGCGGCCTCCCCCACCCCCCCTGTACCTATGTCCCGTTGTCTCCTTGTCGCCGCTGCCGGTCCGTGATCCGATGTGGCCGGTGCGGCTGGGACCGGCACGGCGACACTCTAACAGCAGATCAAAGGGACATCATTACTCGATCTCCCTTTGATCTCTCTTCCTGTCCCCGAATGCAGGAAGTGATGTATGTTACAGAACATATCTCTGCTTCATCAGCTTCTGTGGGGGTCCCTAGGTGACATCAGAGGTCTTGGAGACCCCTGATGCCTCCATAAAGAGGACCTGTTTGGTGAACTGGCTATTACATAGGGGATTTCTTAGTCCCCTATGTTATAGCAATAAAGTTGTCTAAAAAAAGTTTTTAAAAAAACAGCATTAAAAAAATAAAGAAGCGAAAAAAATATTCACAAATAATAATTAAAAAAAATAACACAAAAAATGTTTTAAAGTCCCCCGCCCCCCCACATACACATGCAAACATGCGTCGGGTGCGCCT